AGATGAAAACTGTTTTAGATGAAAGATATATAGAGTATCCTATTCTTACTGATGGAGGAATTTTGATTGAAACATTCTGTTAGATCAGAAGTTTGGTTTTAAAGGTGTATTGGTAATGGTATATAAAGTTATGAAAAACACATGTGGTTTTAATAAAGTTATGAAAAATACTGTATGTGATTTTAATAAGTTCTGGGAAACCGAATGTAGGGTGCCCTAAACACCATATGGGACTGGACGCAGGTGGAGGGCCTTGGCATTAACACGGGAAAGGCAGTCGTTGTACCATTTACTAGGTGACGGAAATTTAATGTGCGCCCGTTGCTCCTGAGGGGCACAAACATTGGGCCTTGCAAGAAGGTCAAGTATCTGGGAGTAATCCTAGACCAACGACTAAACTGGAGGCCTCATCTTGATGGAGTCATAGTTAGGGCCACCAGGGCTCTATGGGCTTCGACGAGGCTATATGGGAAAACGTGGGGTCTTAGACCTAAAATGGTCTACTGGACCTACACTACAATTGTTCGACCAATTGTAACTTATCGTTCTGTCTTATGGTGGCAGAACCCTGAGCAGCTGACGGCGCGTGCTTCTCCACTCGATTGCAGCTCCTCGCACGTCTTGGCATAACTGATGCCCTGAGAACGTACCCAACGACCTCGATGGAGGCTCTCCTGGGCTTAGCCCCGTTTCATATTCACCTAAAGGGGAGGCTATGAAGGGGGCACTGCGGATAAGGCAATACAGGGAACCAAAGCCGGGTGATCTTAGGGGTCATTTAACCATCATTGCGGAGTATGGTGACCTACATGACATGGAGATGCCCTTGGATTTTGGTCTGAGGGAGAGGAAAATAGTGAGGCTATACGTTGTGGATCTAGCTGAAAGGCGGATCTGGGACGGGGGGGGGGGGGACCACAACTTGGCCCCTGGGCCGTAGTCTTCTATACGGATGGATCCAAAACCAATGAAGGGGTGGGCGTGGGTGTGTACGGAGAGAGTGTAAGCATATCAATGGCCCTCGGACGCTGTCCATCGATATTTCAGGCTGAGACATATGCCATAGAGTTGTGTGCTCTAGAATGTATCAGAAGGAACATAACAAGGAGCAGGATTTGTCGGACAGTAAGGCTGTTCTCGGGGCCCTCTTGTCTGATGTAGTGGGATCGAGGCTGCTGAAGGAATGCATCGACGTCCTTGGCGTCCTGGCTAGGCACAAAAAATTGAGTTGATGGTCTTGCCAGGGAGGGAGCAGCGGCTCCCTTCATTGGACCGGAACATTAGTGGGGGTTTCTAACTGGATACTCCCTCCCGAGGGTCCACCTGAAAAGGATGGGCAGGGTGGCGGATGAGGTCTGCCGTTTATGCCTGGAGGAGGACGAAACCATGGAGCACTTGCTATGTGAAGATCTCGCAGCTTAATGTGGCTGTCATACTGTGGTTTATCAGGGGCCTAGAGAATAGGGCTAATGTAGGGGAATAGGTATCACAAAAGATCCTATGGGTCGATGTGAGTGGGACCTAGGGGCCTCGGTCTCCGTGGAGGAAAAAAGAAAAAAAAAAGTTCCGGGAACATGATTTTATGTAAAGAATTTAACACCGTAACCCACACGCTGTATGAGCAAAATTTCTCTCTTGAAATATAAAATTAAATAAATAAAACAAATGTTCTGATAAATTTTAAAATCTGAGATCCTGGGAAAGTAATATACAAGGAATAAGGTACTCTAATACTGCTAAGATTCTTTTTTTTTTGGTTATTTGATTTTTAATTGAAATTTTTCGCTAAACATACAAAAATCTACATGTTATATAAAACCTATCACCTGTTTATTATCTTTGTTGTGTTTTCCTTTTAGTTATAAAAAAATAAAATCCCACTGTTGTTTAAACGCTCTGTTTTTTTTTTTTTTTTTGTTAGTCATAGCAACTATACCTTAAAAGGCTTTACATTTTGTTTGTTTCTTGTTTAATTTTTGTTGTAAATTGGGATTTCAATCTACACCAACGAAAATTTTTTATATGTTGTTAGGATTAATGTTGTTGTTAAAGGGACTCTTTTTACTTTTTGCTATATTTTTTTTTCTTATACACGTACAGCACGACGTGGTTTATATTAATGTGTTCCTTTTATTACTATTCTTCATTTGGCTATTAATAGACATGTTAATAAGTAGTGATAAAATATTGTTGGTTATAGGTGAGTGTAATAATGTGTAATCGAAATTTAATTTTGTATGATAAGGTGTTGTATAAGTTATTTTTCTTAAACCCTATATTAAATCCAATTTTCTCTTGAATACAAAATCACAAATTGCTTTAAGTTTAAAATAATATAAGACAAAATTCTAGAATACCTACATATATGACAGGGTTTAATGAATGCCTAAAATCTTAAGGGAAGACACGGAATATTTGAGCAATATTATAGTTAAAGGGCAGCGGCTAAAAATTCACTCTTAATAAAAAAGAACTAGTGATGTTACAAACGACAATTTATGAAAGCCATCGTATTGGTCAACTTGGCTTACCACTATGTATTATGTGCATAATTTTAGTTTGATTTTTTTAACAAACGTTTTTTTTTATTTTGCTTTGTTGCTTACTAATGTTTGAAAGTTGCATTTGTATTTAAAATTTTCAAATACTTTTTATTTTAATGCAATGCGATTGGAATAAAAGTTATTTTTCAATACCATATAACTTCTTGCCCGAGTTCAATTACACGTTGAGTCGAATGACATGCAAATCGCACTATTGATTGCCTACCACAATAAAAAGGCTTGAAATTCTCTGGAAATACTGGTTAAGTGTTCTCTTACATATTAAAGTGCAAACTTGAATTTATGGAATCCGCATGTTTATTATAAGAAACTATTCTATTTTTATTCCGATACGTCTACGTAAACATAAAAAACAAAATTTATCTAGCGAAATATGTATTCGATCTGCCGACACTTGTCTTAATCTATAAAAATAATAAAAGATTTTCTTCAGAATTTTTTTAATTTCTTGTTTATATCTTACATTCCAATAAAAACAACATTAAATATTTAAAAAACGTAGACCGACTGGCTTTATAATATTTAAGTTTATAGTTTCGACAATTCTTCATTTTTATTTCGCTCAATTTAAATTGAAATAGAAAATACAGAAGCACAATTTATTCTTACATACGTAGCCTATGTAATTCTCAATATATTTACAGTGTTTATGTCTACAAAATAATTTCAAAAAACAAAAATTGTAAATTCTTAATTTTATCGATTTTAATGTTACACACAATTTACTTAAATTTGATGATAGCATTAAGGGAATACGTGAATGATAATGACATTGAAAAGCCAAAAAATATACAATAGAGAAATGAAAATTTAAGAAATCTTTATAATAGGATTATAGTTTTAGTTTAAAATTTATTACTGAACAAAAACGATGAATTACTTACGCATTTATTAAAAATTTTATAAGTATTTAAAGATTTTGTGTGTTTCCACTCAAGGTGTCCCTCCTGTATATGAATTAATTTTAATACTCATTTTATTATTTTTTGACCGTGTTGTAAGTATAACAAGCTTGGTGAAATTTTAATTAGCATTAATATTTTGTGCTTCTTTTCTAGTGTTGGTTTAAGTTAGCCTGATAAAAACCGAATTGCGCTAAAACGTCCTGTTTCGTCATCTTATTTAATTATACTAGTTCTTCCTTTCTCTGTAAGGGCATATATTCTGCCTCTCTTCATTGGGTTTGATTACATTTTTTTTCTGGCCCTCTCACTTTCGATAACAATGACATAATGATGAATTCTCAATTGAGATGCATGCTTTCATACAAACTGTAATCCAATTGACTGTATTCTGACAGAATTTATGTAATCTTATCATTGCATAATTAAAAATTGAACACAACTTTATTAATTATTTATAAATTATTAATAACCGTTAGGATTCTCTATTTTTATACCGGATAAAACCGGTTTGTCTATATAAAACGACGTTGTGAATGAATTATGAATGAAAAGTAAAATGTGCTATACCTTAATGCATTCGAAAAAAATTTTGAAAATTTTTTTCTAGACATTTTGAAAATGACGTGAATTTCGTAAGCATGGAAAATTTAGTAAAGTTCAATACTTTGTCCTTTTCTATTCGAAATAGCGCAGTTTTTTCTTTTTTGTGTTTTGAACTTATCAAAAATTTTTTTTGCCATTTTTTTGTTTTCGTTTCTCATTTTGTTGTTGTTGTTTCTCACGTTTTGTTTTTTTTTTTTTTTTTTGAGTTTTTCATGTGTTAAATAGTTTCTTTATGTGTAAAAGTTAAAAAGGGGGAAAAAAGTAAAATATAAAAAGAATACAAGAAAAAAATGAAGATTGATCAATAATAAATCGATTTTTGTTTATTTTTTTTATTTTTCTATTTACAATTTCTCACACTTTAATTTTCTCTATTTCCTATACCCACGTTTTATAGTTTCTTTATTTAATAATATAATCATTTTCTTATTTTGTATTCCAAATGCTTTCAAAAGCATTTCTTCCTCTCTTAACTAAAAAGGACATAAACAAATTTTATTCATAGATTTTTTTTTTCTATTTTGGTTAGGATTTTTTTTGTTTTTACATTTGTGTTAGTGAAATTTTAGCAGCCGTTATTTATATTTTTTAAACAAAGTAATGGAAACTATGATACATCATTATTTTGAGAAAGGAAGAAAAAAGTAAAAAGGATTTTTAGAAAATTTTATATTATTTTTTTTCTACCCATCGGTAAAACACACACATTTGAATATTTTGTGTCTTTTCTAAATATTATCAAATTGTTTCTTTTTTGTATTCTGATGAAATTATCGGAAAAAGCGAGCGAATTGTTAACATAAATACCATAATTAAATAATTATAAAATACTTGTAATAAAAAATCTAAAATTAATTAATAAATAATATTATATATACAATTATAATAATGATTAATTAATAATTTATTTTTTTAAATCTAATTTCAGATTAACTTACATACAATATAATCAGATCAATTTACATCCCAATAAGAAATTCATGGTCATTCATCAACAACCTACATAATATAATATAATCATCAAATATCATCATTATTATCAATAAGAAATTCATTATAATAATAATAATAATTATATTGCATATTAGTGGACCAAAGCTGGAATATAAAATAATCATTTAAATAAAAGTTCAAAAAAAAATAAAATATTTATTTGGAATTAATAAAAGAAAAGCATCATTTAGTCATAAGCTATAAAAGGAAACATATATTAATTTTTACGCACCGGAAAAAATAATTTGTCGAAAAAAAAAGGGGAGTAGAAAAAATGGGACGTAAAATTACTGTAGCCGTTTCAACTCTTAATCAATGGGCACTTGATTTTGAAGGTAATTTAGCAAGAATAATGCAATCAATATTACAAGCAAAAGAAATGGGTGCAAGTTATAGAACAGGACCAGAATTAGAAGTATGGTAAGTAAATTTAATGTCTTTTTCCCATTTATTATTTTGATGAAATTTTAATTGCCAAATTGAAACTTTTCGTTGGATGCATTTTCTTTATAATTTTTTTCGTAATTTTTAATTTATTGAAATTCTAAAAGATGTTTAAGATTTTCTTTAATATTATTCCGCTATTATTTTTGAATATTAACTTGAATATTAATTTGACATTGACAACTTAAGACGTCAATTGAAATAAAACTCAATTGATCAACTTCATTTATTCAGTAGTACAATTCGAACAGCTGACCAGATTAGTATATTTTTTGATCTTTGGTTTTTGTTCAATTTTATAAGCATTATTTAAAGCTACTTTGTAATATTAAGAGTCAAACTTTTTCATAATTAAATAATTTACCTTTATTAAGTAAGAAAATGCAACCAAATGCAAACAGTGTAAATTCTTGCAAATAATGATGTATTGGATACTACAAATTTCATTTGTTGAAATTCACCATGATTTCATATTATAAGCACATTTCTTACAAAATTAGTTTAAGTCTGATTATAAAATTTCACTCTATTATAAAAAAAAATATTTTAAACACTTCTTGTAATTCAAATAATTTTTTAAAATTTTTACAGTGGATACAGTTGTGAAGATCATTTTCATGAACCTGACACATATTTACATTCTTGGGAAGTTCTTCTTGAAATTTTATTATCACCGCTCAGGTAAAATATTGTTAATATGTTACTAACCAACAAATATAATTTTTAATTATTTCTTAAATTTTTAGTGAAAATATTTTAATTGATGTTGGTATGCCTGTTATGCATCGTAATGTTGCCTATAATTGTCGTGTTGTTTTTTTTAATAAACAAATTTTATTAATACGTCCAAAAATGGCAATGGCTGATGATGGTAACTATAGAGAAACTAGATGGTTTACATCATGGACAAAAAAACGTGAAACTGAAGAATTTGTTTTACCAAGAATGATATCAGAGCATACTGGACAAAATACAGTTCCTATTGGTGATGCTGTAATAGCAACAAAAGATACATGTATTGGTTTTGAAATTTGTGAAGAATTATGGAATGTTAATAGGTATGTAAATTGAAAATTTTCTTAAAATGTATTAATTAAATGTTAATATTTATTAAACATTTTAGTACTCATATTGAAATGTCTTTATCTGGTGTTGAATTAATTGTTAATGGTTCTGGTAGTTATATGGAATTGAGAAAAGCTTATATAACAACAGATTTAGTAAGAAATGCTAGTTTCAAAGCTGGTGGAGCTTATTTATTTAGTAATTTAAGAGGTTGTGATGGTCAGAGAATATATTTTAATGGATGTTCAGCTATAGCTTTAAATGGAGATATAATTGCAAGAGGAAAACAATTTTCATTACAAGATGTTGTAAGTTAACTACATTTTATTTTTTATATTAAAATTCCTTTAATCTGTATAATAAAATTTGATATTTTTTAGGAAGTTACTGTAGCAACAATTGATTTGGAAGATATTCGATCATATCGAGTTGCATTACGTTCAAGATGTACAACAGCTGCTTCAGTTCCAACATATCCTAGAATTTATTGCGATTTTGAAATGTCAACACATGGTGATATCTTTAAAATTTCAAATTGTCCAATGCAATGGATTTATCATAGTCCAGAAGAAGAAATTGCATTAGGTCCAGCTTGCTGGTTATGGGACTATTTACGTCGTTCTGGTCAAGGTGGATTTTTCCTTCCATTAAGTGGTGGTGTTGATTCAAGTAGTTCTGCTACAATTGTTCATTCAATGTGTAGACTAATTGTTGCTGCAGTTGATAATGGTGATGAACAAGTTTTACATGATGTTCGAAAAATTTTAGGTGATCATGAATATACACCAGATAATCCAGCTGCTCTTTGTAATCGTTTACTAGTTACATGTTATATGGGCAGTGTAAATTCAAGTAAGGAAACTCGACACAGAGCTTCAGTGTTGGCTAATCAGCTCGGTAGTTATCATATAGAAATAAATATCGATACAGCTGTTAATGCACTGTTAGGAATTTTTAACATGGTAACTGGATTAACCCCAAAATTCAGAAATCAAGGTGGATGTCCAAGACAGAATTTAGCTTTACAAAATATACAGTCCAGACTTCGTATGGTTTTGGCTTATTTATTCGCTCAATTAATGCTTTGGGTACGTAATCGACCAGGTGGATTGCTAGTATTAGGCTCAGCAAATGTTGATGAAAGTTTAAGGGGTTACTTAACAAAATATGATTGTTCAAGCGCTGATGTAAATCCTATTGGAGGAATTTCAAAATCTGATTTAAAAAAGTTTTTAATTTTTGCCAAAGAGAAATTCAATCTTCCAATTCTAGAAGAAATAATTTCATCTCCACCAACTGCTGAATTGGAACCACTTTCTGAAGGAAATTTAGTACAAACTGACGAACAAGATATGGGTATGACATATGCAGAATTAACAGAATATGGTCGTTTAAGAAAACAAGATCATTGTGGTCCTTATAGCATGTTTTGTAAACTAGTTGCGACATGGAAAGGAGATTTAACACCAAGAGAGGTAAAATAATAGAAATATTTTAATTGAACTTGTTCATAATATTCTATAATTTAAGGTCGCGGACAAAGTTAAACATTTCTTTAGATGCTATGCAATCAATCGTCATAAAATGACTGTAATAACTCCTTCCGTTCATGCCGAATCATACAGTCCAGATGATAATCGATTCGATCATCGACCTTTCCTTTATAGGGCAAATTGGAGCTGGCAATTTAAAGCAATTGATGATGGGGTAAATATGATTTTGTAAAATTCTTAACAATATTTTACTAATAAGTTGTTTTGATTTAAGGTTGAAAAACTTACACCAACCCGTTCGGGTTCTATTCAAAGGCAACCAACTCAACATGAAACATCTGCTGAAGATATTGAATCAACTAGTCATCACAGTCGTACATTTTCACATCGTGGTTCAAAAAATTCATCTCCACTATCATGCTCATCAGCTGAAGCTGGAGGTAGTGGAACAACAAAAAAAGTACCAAATACGTCCGCAGCAGCAACTAGTGGTGGTTATAGTAAAGTGCATGTTAATGTTTTGGGGAAAATAAAAGATAGAACAGGAATACCAGTTTAAAATTTTCATAGATTTGCATATATATATATACTATTTTTTATAAATTAGTATTAGTGTTTTTTTTTTATTTCAATATTGTTTTGCCATCAAATTTTTCTTGTATTTGTTTTTTTTTTTTTTTAAATTGATATTAACATTATGAAATTATTAAGAATAAATTCAATCATTTATGCATAATGTTATAGCTACATGTAATTAGGTCTAAAATTAGAGTAAATTATTATATATGGATATTTTCTTTAGAAATTTAGAACAATTATTTTGTTAGTTAATAGTGAGAATCAAATATCTAGTTGAGAAATTTAAAGAAATTCGCATTTTAGAACTGCACTAAAATTAGGAATTTTTCATTACATTCGAATATACAAGGGCTCTATTTTATATATAAAAACTACTTCTGAATTTCAGGAAATAAGAGCTGATAGTTCAATTCCACAATTTAAGAAATAAAATCAATTTCAGCCAGCTTATCTCTTACTGAGTTAAGAGATTTCAATAATATTTAATGTAAAAAATTAATTTTCCTTTTAAACGTTAAGAAAATTTCATTAGTACAGAAGCACAAGAGAAAACAAATGCTTCAAATTTTATCTTATTAATAATAATATTAATTGTTCATTCTTAAATTATAATACTTTTATACAAAACGCTTTATTTATTTGAGTTTTTAGCTCAATTAAAGTCTATTTTCAAATTTTACATTATAATTTTATATTAAATTTAAAATTAATAAATTAATAAAATACACTTACAGGACCACAAAACAAAACAAAAAACGGTATAGAATTTTCCCCCTAAAAGAAAATTATGCCTATATATAACACAAAACGTATTCAAAGGAATTTAATGTTTAAGGAATTAATATTTATTATAGAATTGATATTATAGTACATATATTTAGAATTTAAACAAGACCTCTTACTATTTAGCCTTGTAAAAAGAAAATTAAATAAATTAAAATAAAAATAAAATTTTTACTTTTAAAATTTAGAAATTATACAAAAAAAAAACATAAACTATGTACAACTTAGTTATTTAGTAATGTCGATCTTATATAGTGCGATGATTATTCATTATAATAATAATATTAAAGAAAATAATAATATAATAGAACAAATAATATTTTCAATTTTTAAAAAATTTGGCCTTTTATAATAAAAATATTAAAAAATATATAAAACAATAAAACATTAGAAGTAGTAATGAGAATATTATAAGAAAATATAAAAAAAAAATTATTTTAAAAGTTACATTTTTAAAATGAAAAACTACCTATTACAAATTTAGTTGTTAAAAAAAAAATTAATGTTAGAAAAATATTTTATAACAAAAAAAAAAAATATTTAGAATTTGTTTTTGGTTTGCACAATTTCAATTATTTGCTGTGTACTTCACTATATTTTGATATGCTATCAATACATTTAAAGAAATTTTTAATTTTTGTACTGAAAAAGTTACCTAATGTTATCGTAAAGTCTTAATTTAATTAAAGAAATAAAATTCTATAATTTCAAAAATATTGAATAAATTTAAAATAAAATGTTACTTGATAATTTTCCAAGGTTGTCTACTTTAAAAAATGATCGGCTTCTTTAAAATATAAAGATGTATAATCAATAAAAATTACAGAATAGTTTAATTATTTATTAAATTAATTATTGCCTTGTGGAATTTAGATTATTTTAATTTTTATAATAAGCAGAATATTTTAAACTTCTTTTTTTCCTTCTTAGAGCTTATAGCACAATTAAATAATTTGTAAAAAATTATTTAGAACTTGAAACAAAATGAAATTTTCTTGAAGTTACTAATTTTTATACTCATAGAAATTTATTTTTTTTCTTATTAAAAACAAACTATGTAAAGGTTATTATAAGTTCAAAATTGTATGTTCTTTTATTAAAACAAAAAATACTGAAATTATTAATGCTACAACTAAACAAAAAATATTTTAAATATTATACAATATTCTTTATAAATTTAGAATAGAAATTAATATTAGAATTTAGAAGTAAAATCAATAAAAAATACAAAAACAAAAATAAAAATTATATAAGTAAAGTATGCAAACTGTTTTTCATAATGTAAAAATTTTAGGAGCTTAAGTTATAAAAGATAGTCGAAAGTATTAAATAAGTCTAACTTAGTATGTAGCAGCTTCTCTTATACTAGTAAGAAATGCATAACTATTTTAATTATTAATGTATAATTTAAATTTTTTTGGAGTTTTTCGCTAAGACAAGGTAGTTCACAGGCAAAACTGCTTGTTGTTTTTTTTCATAGGGTTTATATTGTATATTGTTGATTTTTTTTCATATGATTTATAAGATTGCTGAGTTTAATTATAAGATCACTCTGCTTTATTTTATTCTTCAAAAAGAAATTATTTTAAACAAAAAAATCCTATACTGCGACAAATCAAATTGGATCTATTTAAGATGTAATCTCTTACAACTTTGTATCTAGTAATTAAAAGAAAATTATTCTATTTGAAAGAATTCATGAAATCATATAGAAACTTTTTTTTTTTGATTTACTGATTTATATAAGTTTTTTTTTACAAAAACAAGTTATATAAAAAATAAAAGTAACATTTTACATTAAAAATCTTATAAAATTGTGAATTTGAGATGATTTGGGCGCTAATCATTTAATTGACTTTTAATAATGTTTTATCCCAATTTCTAGCTGTTCCAATATTGCATCTATATAAGTTGTAATTGAAAAATATTTTCAACATTGAGTGATCCTTAAAATTTTGATGTAATCTTAACACTTTGAATTCCGTTAGTTTCTTGTTTCATTAAATCTGTAAAATGAAAAATAAATAGTTTATAATGATTTTTAAAATGTAAAGCAAGTGGTTTATAAATAATTTTTACACATAATAAGAAATTCCGAATATAAAATAACTACAACATAAAAAATGTTTCACGCACGCGGAAGATTTTCTTGAAAAAATTCCAAATTTTAATTCGTCTGTTTTTCACTTCCCAATGAAATAATTCATATTTATGTTTTATATGTATATAGTATTGTATTTATTCTTAAAATTAAACAGTCTGTTTTTCACTTCCCTTTTTGCTTTTTGCAAAATTCGCTTTTTGAAAATCTAGGTTAATTCTCTAAATATAAATGTTCACACCTGTATAAAAAATTCAATAGTCAAATCTTGTATTTACGTAAATTTTGTACTAAAATATGATTGTATTTTTAGTCACTAGCGCACATATTTACATATTTTCAGATTTTTATTGCAATTTTAAACTTATTTTATGTAGAAAAAAATGGGTTAAGGTCAAATAATTTTAATTACATCAAAGAAAACGTGATCAAATTTTATTGAACTTCATGTTATGTTGATCATGAATTTTATAGTGGAATTTTTGGCAATATTTTTATAAACAAATTGAAAATACTTTTGCCACGAATTTCAATTTTGCCTTGTAAAAAATATTTAAGCAATTTTTCTCTTTTGACGTTTTGTTTTTTTTTTTTAAACTTGTTATTAAAAAAAGAATGTAAATTCTATTTTTATTTACTTGGTGGAAATTTATGCTGGAAAGGAATGTTTTATTTATAATTATAATTATATTTTATAAATACTTTATAATTATGGAATACATTGCCCTAATATAGTAACCATGGCAGTGCTAAAGCTTTTACCTTATATTATTCATATGATGTCATTAAATGTCTTATCCCGTATACACAATTTCAAATTATGTGTTAATTACATATAAAATAGTAATAGAAAATGCAATTAACACACTCAAATTAAGTAAAATTTTCATTGAATTTGCATCCCTTCTATATAGCAGCAATTTATTTTGTTACAAATTTTTAAGTAGAATTTGTATTGACTAGTTAATCTTGTGATAATGATGTGTATGAAAAATCTATATTATAGGTAGTCATGTTCATTATAATAATAAACAAAAATAAATATATTCCTAGTACTGAAAAATTTAAATTATTTCAAATAATATTATGGCATAAATATTCATCTTCAATGCTAAGTGTATTTCTTTTCTGCTTTCTATACTATCTTATATAAATCATAACTGAAGGAATTGTCCATTTACATGAAATAAATAAAATAAATTTAACAATAAATGCAAATTTCAAATATTTTCAATATATTTTTAATATTTAAAAAATAGAAAATCAATTTAAAATAAATTTTGTATTTTGTTATCACTTCAATGCTTGGATAAAGCAATTTTTATTATGGAATACCATTAGCAGAAGTCCATTTTTCATACACATGAGAACCCCCCCCCCCCACACACACACACACAAACACACATGACTTGCTTCTGTTTCTTTTATATTGTATGCTTTTTAAATTCAAAAAACTTCTGTCTATTACTTTACATTGAATTGGTATTAGTTATTTTACATATAGGTCCTTGTTTAAATTTAAAGCATCAGGATATTGTCCTTAGGAGTTAATATAATCAGATTTAAGGTACATAATATAAATAGTAATTGACTTCTATCTATACTGTTATAATATTCTTACATAATATATTATAATATAAAAATTTTCGAAAATGTTAATGTAATAACAATAATAATTATCATAAAAATATTTTACCATAATAACATTCCACTACATTAAAATATTTTTGTACCATTATACAAACACATATACACCGTATCGTATTATATTATTATAACAGAGGCTAAATGTATATGGTATGTATTTGAATACCGGAAGCATAAAATTATATTTTTATTATTATTATTATATTATTATTTGTGTATTATTTTGTGTATTTTAAGATTATTATATAGAAAGCGAAAATACTTATTAAGATTTTCTTTGAAAACATTTCAACTTGATATGGTCATTTACAATTCATTATAATTTATATTATTTTGTATAACAAAAAAAAAATATCCTTGAGACATTTTTATTAATATTGATTTTAAGTTAAAAGGATCAAAATATTTTCTTTACTTCTAATTAAATTCTATGTATACATACGGATTATACAATATTAAACAACTAGGTATTCGTACAGGTGAATATACTTGAAATTGTTATATAAACTATTTATAAAAAAATAAACACGCGTACAAGATATACAAGGCTTTTGAATTAATGAAAATTTTTAAAAATAAATAAAAAGTAAAAAAAAAAAATTTTTTTTCTGAAGTTCGTGACCATATAAGATTTCGTTTACACAAGAACAATAAAATCAACGGCGTGAATTTAAGTTGTTTGAATCCCACGTACCCGTAATATTATGTGAGTACATATACATACATACTTACATACATAAAATAATGATATTGCAAGTTATATAAAAAATGTCCTTGTTAAATAATTTGAAACGTGTTAAACCGAATAACTTCAGCGGTAATGGTAAATTTTTTTTATTGTTTTTTTACTTTAGCAAGGTGTACACAAGATTTTAAGAATTGAGAAGATATTAAAGGACATGAAATGCTGATATGCGTTTTTGTTTTTTAATAATTCTGTGTCGTAGAGGCGAAAAAAAGAAATATGTATGTGGAAAATGAATTTATTTTTCACCTTTAATATTTTTAAGTGTTCGAAAATGCACAAAGTTATTAAGAGTTGTAAGCCGAAAAATGTTGAGTTTTCTCATTGATTTTGCCTTAAAATAAGAAATTTGTTAGAGAATATTGTATTTTAATCGAAAATAATATTTGTACTTGCGATTATTACAATTTTTAATGCTGAAACTATTGAAGAAATTATTTAAGATTCTTTGGAAATTAATTTTGATTACGTTAAGATTTTTAATTTAAGGATTTTGATTGACCACAATTTGGAGACCATATTATTCACATACCACTTGATTAAATGAATAGCTTTTTAATTTTATTCGAATTCAATCTTGAATTTCGTTTACAAAATGATTTTCCATAATATCTACCAAACGAAATATTGGTAATTTTGAAAAATTTAGAATTTCGCATTTTTTAAAAACTATATTTTAAATTCTTTGCTTTTTGATTTAAAAATATCCTTAAAGAATTTCATATACAAACTTTCTATAAGTCCAAATTTAAGGATGTTGTAATTTACATAGTTGTTTGTGTACCCAAAAAAGTTTTATTATTCGTAATTTTTTTTTTTATATTAAAATTCTGATGAAAAAATGAATTAACCCGTTTATAATTTTCTTGGAATGGTTTGCGAAGCAAAAAGAAAGGATACAATGAAATTATTTTTTATTGTTCATAAAAAAAAAA